ACGTAGATTTGGTCAATCGTTCCTACCCCTCTTCTAAACCCCGTTTGACTCGGTGGAAGTATCTCCTTTCTCTCCACCTCATCCCTCAACCTCTTGGCCAGCACCATAGCGTACACCTTGTAGGCCGTTTGTGTTAAAGTAATCCCTCTGTATTCCTCAACTTTCTCCCCAACCCCCTTTTTCACTATCGGAACAACAACTCCCTCCCTCCACACTTCCGGCCAACCCTCTCCCCTCCACACTTTGTTACATATTTCCCACAGCCATTCTCTTATTACTTTTCCCCCAAATTTCCACATCTCATTAACTATACCATCCCCTCCCGCCGCTTTTCCCTCCTTTACCTTCCTTATCGCCCCCCCTCCCTATTTCCTCCCTGCTGATTTCCTCTTCTTCCTCTTCTCATCGCCCCCTCACTTCCCCTCTCACCCTCCACTCCACCCCTCCCAGAACTCTTCTACAGTGTTACTCCCATTCCCTCATTTCAATCCCTTCCCTGATTCTCTTTCTCTTTTTCCTCCCCTTGTTTACTACCTTCCATACATCTGCTTCCGATCTTACTTCTTCTAATTCCCTCTCCCATCTGTCTCTCTCCTTTCTTCTCTTCTCATTACAATGCTCTCTATATCTCTTCCTCATCTCCTTATAATTCTCACCTTCCCCTCCTCTCTTCTTCCACCTCTTTAATTCCTCCCTTACTTCTCTTTTCATCTTCCTACACTCCCCTAACCATACCTCCTCTTACCTTTTTCTCTTCTCTCTCCACTCTCTCTAAAGCCCCTTCCACTCTCCTCTTCATCTTTCGCCATTTCTTCTCCACTCCCTGCCAATCACCATCCCTCTCCCCCACGTATTCCTCAAACTTCTTCCTTCCCTCTTCCGTCCACACCCCTCTTCTTTCTTTCCCTTTCCTTTTTCCAATTCCCTCTTCACGTCTTCCTCCCTTCACGTAGACTCTGATCGGCTGGTGGTCGGAGTCCACCCAGTCCTCCACCTTCATCCTTACTACTTTCCCTCTCGTCTCTTCATTCCCGATCACATAGTCAATTACCGTCCCTCCCTTCCCTCCCGTAAAAGTCCACTCCCCCTCTTCGTCCCCCTTTATGCATCCATTCATTATCGACCATCCTAATTCCCTTAAAAAACCACACAATTTCTTATCTTCTCTATTCATCTTTTCATCCTTCGAATTTCTCTCTCTCTCCCCTATCCCTCCCTCTCCCTTCTCTCCTATTCCTTCTCCCTCTTTCTCCGTCCTTGCATTAAAATCGCCCCCTATTACTACACTCACCCCCTCCTCTCTCTCCTCCATCCACTCTCTTAACTGCCTTATTTAATCCTCCAAATCCCCATTCACATATACTCCCACTAATCTCCACCATTCTTCCCCCAGATTAACTTTAACCACCTGTAATCCTTCCTCCCTTCTTTCCTCATTCTTTTTTTCTCTTTCTATCCCCTCCCTGATTCCTACAATCATTCCTCCCATTGCCCTCCCTTTTTTACTCTTCCTTCCTGCTTCTTGCACTTCCCAAACATATCCCTTCGGTAACCATTTTTGCACCCTCTCTCATCCCTTTCTCTATAGCCATGTCTCACTTAAGAACATCACATCCCATTCCTTTAATTTCTCCCTAAAATCCTCCTTTTTGTTTTCCATGCCGGCCACGTTCCAAAAACCTATTTTATATTCCTTACCATCTCCTCTTCCCCTATTCCTCCTCTTTCTCCCACCTTTTTCATTTCGTCTATTCCCTGCTTTCTCCCCTTCTCCCTTCCCCCACCCCCCTTCTAAAAAACCTCTATCCTTTTTCCCACCACGTTCCCCCCTTTTTCTCCCTTCTCAACCTCTCTTATTTCTCTTCCCCTCCTTCAGTTCGTCTCTCATCTCATCCCATATCCACAATTTATCTTCAATCCATATTTTCATATATCCTACTCTTACTTTCTTACCTTCCCTCCTATTCCTTTCTGCCTCCTTCCTGATCCATCACTTTACCCTTCTCTCTTTTTCCGTCAAGTCATCCACGATCCATTCCCTCCTCTCCCTCAGCTTCGCCTTTCCCTTCATCACATCTATTTCCCCCCCCCCACACTCGCGAATCTTACCCATACCATTTCCCTTCCCTCCTTATCTTCATTCCCTATCCTCCTCATTCCTTCTATTTCCGCTGTTGCCCCCGTGGGAGCGGTGCACTTGGACACGGTGCATTTGGACACAGCCAATCACAGCACCGTGTGATTAGAGACATTTGTAGGGTCTCTTGGAACAGCGACTTGTGATTGGACTGTGTCCAATTGCCCCTTGTCTAACTGATATACACCCGCCCCCGTTACCTCCAATATCTCTTCTATCTCTCTTCTTAACCCCTCCAACCCCTCTTTCTTTACTCTTACTCTCTTTATTATTATATTCCTCTTCCACTCCTTCCTTTTCCTTTTTTCCTCTTCTAATTCCAATCTCCTCATCCTTTCTTCTAGTACCTTTATATCTCCCTTTTCTCTTATCTCCACCTGCTTCATCCCCTTCCCTTTATCCATCCCCCTTCCTCCCTCGTCCTTCTCCGCCCCTCCCCATCCTTTCTCTATTACCTCCACTCTCTTCTCCAAACCGACTACTCTCTTTCTCATTTCCTCCATCCATTCCTTCATCTCTTCTCTACCTTCATTTATCTCTCTTATTTCACTTTTTATATCCCTAAAACCGTCTCCTACCTCCCTTAATATTTCCTTCAATCCCCCTTCTTCCTGTCTAACCGGTGATCTCTCCAACATCGAACTCCTCTTGAAAATTTCTCCCTCCCTCCTTCCCACATCCTCCTCCAATCTCTCCCTCCTTTTCTCTCCTCTCTTGAATAATTCCAATAGAGGCATACTGTTTGCTCTATCCCTTATCAGACTTTCTGCCTTGTTCTGCCTTCCCTTCCTCCTCTTTTCCTCCCCATTCCCTTCCTCTCCCCTTTTTCCCTTCTCCTTCTCACCCCCTTTTCCCTCCTCCATCCCGTCCTTCTCTCTACCCACTAACTTTCTCCATTCAAACTTTCCCGCGCTAACTTTCCCGCTCCTACTCTCTCCTCCTTTGCTTCCAACTGCTACCACTCGGCGTCGCTGCCTCCGTCTCTTCTCCTGCTCCTTCACCCCTCTCTACACCTGCTCCTTCTATTCGCCTAACCTCCAAATCCCGTCTCAAATCCTACCTTTCTCCTATCACTCTGTCCCCTTACCCTTACCCTTTCTCTTATTTTCCTAACTCCACCTGTCACTCCCCCAGCCTCTAACCACCTCGCACCAGCAAAAACAGCTCTCCTTATCCTCTAAAAACTTTCTCGCCACGCACACTCTCCACATACGCAAACAGTCACTCTCGCTACCGGAAACGGAAGTCCGGTTTCAATAATTTTTTACTTGAATTCTATCAACTTTAGCGAAAAATATCAAGAGATAAAAATTATTTATTTTGTTTTCGTTGAGCTCTGAAAATTTTTTCAGAATTTTATATTAATTTTTTAGGACTGCATTTTCTTGCATTTTCTTGAAGTACTAAAAAGTTAACACAAAATTCTGAAAAAATTCTCAGAGCTCTTTGAAAACAAAATAAGCAATTTTATTTCTTAATATTTTTCGGTAAAGTTGATAGAATTCAAGTAAAAAATTATTGAAAATAATAATTTTGTAA